TGGGGCAGAGAGCCAGCAGCAAGGAAAAACTGGGGGGGGCAAAACATGGCATGAGGGGAAGGTGTCCCAGGGAACAACCTGGGGTGAAAAGCAAAGCCAAATCCACCCAAAAGAGCCTGTCTATTGCTTTTGCTGAGTTTTAGCTTCGGCTCATCAGTGCAAGGGGCTGAGCGTAAGGCACCATGCAGCAGAGGTGCCGAGTGATGCCAGCATTGGGAAAGCTGGGCAAGCAGTCCCGGGGCTAGTGCTTGGACACAGACCTTGGTGCAGTCGGACACGAAGCAACATCTGGGCACTGTCCCAGAGCAAACCCACCCCAAAATCTCCCCGTTCCTCCAGACAGAACCTGCCAGGGTGGCGGCACCTGCCCAGGTCACAAACAGGCCAAGGGAGTTTCCGAAACCAGCGCTGACCTGCAATCCTGGGTGGAGCAGTGGGACTACCCTGTTCCTCCTCCGAAACCTCTGTGAATGCCTGTGGCTTTGTGCAGCATTGCATGCTGGCCCCAAAGCCCATCCCGTCACCCCCCTGGCACTGTCCAGGGGCACGTGGTCCCTCTCCTCACAGCCATCACGTAACATGAGGACAGACAACTTACGGCTGGGCCCATGGATCTTGATGGGTTTGGTGCTGATGAGAGAGTGGGAGCAGTTTTGGCAGACGCAGTCCTTCCCGCTGAACGTGACCTTGTCTCCGATGGGGAATGGCTTCCTGTGGCCAAGGAGAGGTGAGGAGGTGTGAGCTGCTCGCTCCTCCCCATGCAGTGCTTGGGGATGCCTGTGAGCTCCGTCCTCAGGGGCTGGGGTGGACCCACGGTGCCAGGAGCAGAGGGGCTCCAGGCAAGGGCTACAGGGGCAGTCAGTGCGTGTGTGCTGGGGTAAGAGGACTGGGACAGGCGTTAGGGCGAGTCTCCAGGCTGCAATGGGAAAGTTCAGAGCCATTTCATTGCTTCCCAAGGGGTTCCACTACGAAAATGCAGCAGAGGTGCCTGCTGCTGTGCTGGGCAGGGAACAGGGGGCTGTGGGCTAACGAGCAACCGTTTCGCCAGTGCATGGCCGAGGGATGCCCGGCCGAGGGAT